TTTTCCATTCAAATTTTGAAGAAGTTGCTTGATTGAATTTTAGCTTCCAGTCTCATTATTGAAAAATATAGTGTTTTCTTTATCATTTGGGTTTTTCTCTCTGGGAGTTTTTAGACACTTCTCTTCATCTCCAGTATTCTGAAATTTCATAATGGCATGACTTGGCGTGTGACTTTTATTATTCATTATAATGGCTCTTAGTCTGTTCTATCAACCTGGAAACTCACGTCCTTGTTCTGAAAATTATTTCTTTGATAATGTCTCTCCTGTGTTCTATTTCTAGAAAATGTCATCACACTTTTATCTCCAAATATTCCTCATAGGTGTTCATTTCTACAATCAGAATTTCCAAGAACTGTTTTCTGTGCTTTCAATATTCTTTTTTTAAAATAACATCCTGCCCTTAATTCATAAATGCAATATCTTCTCTGATTTTTGAGGGTATTGATGATTTACTTTCTGAAGTTTTCTGCTCCCTGGATATTTCTGTTTCAAGTTTTGTTTCTTGTGTTTGACTTGTTCTCTTGGTTGTCCCTGCTTATCTCAGAGGAAGGAACCACAGGAATTATTGGAATCTATATGTGTATGTTGGGGACTGCCAACTTGCAGCCTCCATTGTAGGGTGGCCTGGCTTGGCCTGTTCATTGGAGGACACTGACTCCCAGTACTTTTAAGTATTTTGTCTAAGACTGATGAGATCGCTAAAAGAAGGAGGTCCCAACTGGAGGGAATAAGCCCAACTGCCAGTCCTTTGGGAACATAGGATTCTGAGGGGGTTTCAAATCTCACTGTTCAGTACAGAGACTTTCACTTAATGCCTCATTTTTTAGAATTGTGCTCTGACACCCAGTTGTGCCAGTGTAAATCTGTTCACCTACTCCAGAGAGTATACCTCTAGGCTTCCTCAAGGGTTGGGGAGAGGCAGTCAATATAAAGCTTTGGGTGGAGCTTTCAACAATATGTCAACCTCACTTTCATCCCCACTATCAGTTGCACATGGTGAAGCTAATTCTTGAGGCTTTCTGAGGTTTTGTGATACCAGTTGGATTGCATCTTGGCTTCTTACACTACCTGCTTATGTTTCAGCTTTCTCAGATCTTCTAAATCAGTTACCGCTAGATTCACCTTCTTTTCACGTTCCAAGCTTCTATATCATTTTTCTTCTATCCTTCTTATCTTTGTGGGTTTATGATTCCTTTTTATCCAGACACTCTTAATGCCATTTTTGAAGGGTTTAGGGAGGGAGCAAAACTAATATTCTATGTTTACTCTCCAATCTAACTACACTTCCCTCTAGATTTTCCTATGGCATATTAAAAAAAAAAATCAACTTTCTAGTAACTTCTCCTCTCTCCCAAATCTTTACTACATAGGAGGAAGTGATTTAGAGCATTCCTTCTTTATGTTCAAGATAAGGGAATTTAAGTTGTCTGAACTTTATAATCACCTGTATGTGAAATTAAAGCCTTCCCTTACTTCTGTAATAAACAACCATGAAAAGGAGAAAAATAACTTTCAAGCCAGAAGGAATTAGTTGTTTTTCTGAATAAAGAAGAACTTTGGAAAATAGAACAAACTTTCAGATTTCATTATAAAAAAGAAATTCACATATAATTAAACTGTGTTCCTAGAAACCTAGTTTGTTTGAGGAAGAAAGGTTTATATAAGAAGACAAGGGTCCTCTAGAGGAAAACTTTAGTATAAAGTAATGATAATTCTTGTCATCTATTAGGTACTTTCAAAAGACATGGGATTAAAGTGGCTTCCATTTAGCCAGCTGGCCAGGGCAGATATAAAGAGTGTTGTAGAACGCCATCTGAAAAATCTCACTTCTGTGGTATTCTAGCTGTATGCATCTCTTCTTTCTGAATTGCCATTTTCACATGAATACACACAGACATTTTGCTCAACACAGCATGTCTAACTCATTACTGCAGGATGAATGATATTGTGTGATTCCTCCTTGGGGTTGATAGCTAGAATAGATGACTTCTCAATTTTTTCTATATTTCAGCAAGTCATTGTATCCTTAGGTTTCACAAGTGTTAAGCCCCAAAGTAATATTGATGCTGAGAGGAAACAAATTATTACAAATGTGGAATTTTTAAAGATATCTGTGGGTTGCAACTTTTGACTGCACAGAGCCTCATGGAATCTTCCTTTATGGTATAAAAACACTAATGAATTTTTGGATATACTTATTTGACCTCTCCTCTCTGAGCTTCTTCTCTTCTCCTCCAAATCTTTACTACATACTACTGTGAGACTATTTCCCTTAAACTCCATTTTTACTATATTTCTCCTTTATTTACAACCACCAATGATAATCTCTGATCATATGAAGTCTAAATGCATCTGTTTAGCTTTGAAGACCTATCCTGACCCTAGATTCCAGGTAAGTTGGTCTTTCCACTGTCCCAGGTCCATATCCACTGCTCTTCTATATGGCTCCCTTTACCTGGAATCCCCTTTGATTTATTCAGTTTTATATATTTAACATGTAGCTGTGCCAGGTATAGGGAAACAAGAAAAAGTCCCTGCCATCTAGAAACTCAAAGTCTAATGGGAGAGATAATTAAGGAACTGAGATCGTAAGTAGATATAAGTAGAGGGTACTAACGGGAGTAGTGGAGTGGGAGGTAGGTATAAAATTCTGTTTTGAGAGCAGTGAAAGCTTCCTAGAGAAAGTTCTGTCCAAACAGAGACCAAACAAACTAGGAGGATGAGTTAGCCAGATGAGAGAAGATGGGTAATATAGCGTAGATGAGGACACCCCTCCCTTCAGGGAGATATCATTCTGCCATTAAATCTACCCAAAAGATCCAATTCAGGTCTTATCTCCCTATGAGGCTCCTTCACTGGTTTCTTATTTGATATCATAGGAAAAAGGGCAGCCATCTTTCTTCTCTCTGTCTTTTTTCCAATGATGAGGCCCCTGGGGCTCTCTTCACTTTGGTTTCTGGTGGCTAGCTGATAGGAAGATGGAGCCTTGGGAACAGAGATAGAGTCCCTGTATGCTTGGGCCTAATTCGCATGCTTCAGTCAGAGTAATCAGAGACTTCACATTGGATATTACGGACACAAACATGCTTCAGTCAGAGTAACCAGAGACTTCATGTTGGATATTAGGGACACAAACCCATAATGGAACTTTGTTTTCTATTTGCTTGTTTGTGTATTTTTTTCTAGAAACCTCCCTGGGAAGAGTATTGTGGATTTGTGGTGAGATTTGGGCATCCCTGGGTGCCTTAGCCAAATTCTATTCAATAGCACTCTCCCAAACTGATATTAGATCTGTAATATTTTCCATTCTTCTAAGTTGTTTTTGAGCTAGAAACCTAGAAATAAAAGATTCATTAATTCTCTAGTGTCTTCTAATTTCCTTAAACTCTTATGTTCCTTCTCATTAAACACAGCTGCAGTGCAGCTGTTGGCAGCAGTCGCAGGAGTTCAAGGCTAGCCTGTGGCCTAACACAAGGAATAGTTGTTCATTATGCATTCACTCTATGGTGGTGAATGTAGAATGCAAATTTGTACAAGGTGACTATAGAAAATAAAAACCAAAGTGCAGGTGAAGCAAGGGAACAGAATCCTTTTTCAAGCCTCTTCTCAGGTGGCAAAAGATTGAGTCTAAAAAGGGACAATCCATTTTACGTCAAGAAAACCTGAACAAAAGACAACAAATCAGGCCTCATTTTCTCATCAGGAACATGAAATCAATTTCATTGTGCTTCAAGACATTCAGTTGTCCTCTGTTCAAACCTGAGGAGATGGGTTGTTGCTTCTCTAAAGCTAATTGTTACACTTTGCCATTTGATGTGGAATCACCCAATACAGTGAAGAAAATACTAAGTTTATAAGTGAAATGCCACGCAGATCCACTGGAGAGCGCATATCAATGTTCAGCAGCTGCACAAGCTCATTAGATCTGAGATTACAGGCTTTTTTGTTGGAATTTGGTGGTGCTCACTCATTTTGACATTATAAACATAAAATTGAAAATTCCACTGTTTTTCTGTTACATCCTAATAATTACGTACCCATTAATTTGTCTTAAAAAATTGGCCTACTGAGCAGTCTCTTATCAGCCTGTTCAAAAAACTTACTGTGTGGTTCTCTATAACTTAAAATGCAGAAGTTAGATAAGCCATTGCACGTGCAAAAATTTGTTGCATAAGCAAGAGTTTTGCCAAGCTCTTCTCTGGCTTGCAAGGTAAAAATTATAGCTCAAGAAATTACCAACTGTTGTTTGGAATTATTCTGATGTCTGCTTTACACATTTCTAATTCAAGTTTATCTTTAGCATTAGTGCCATTATTTATACAACTACTATATTATCATTACTTATCTTCTCAGTGGCATTGAATTTTGAAAGTTTTTCCCATCATTCACTTTTCTCTATTTCCTTAAATAATTAGGCTTATTGAATTCTCAAGTCTCCTGCTATATCTAGATTCACTGAGCCTGTAAGATTTTTCTCCATCATTTCCGTATTTTCAAGTATACTCATTAAGAAGATTAGCTCAAATGTCATCAGGAAACTACATGAAACTGTCTTTCATGTCTATCTATACTAAATCTTTTACTCTTCTGAAATCTCTTGGCAATATATTTCCCCTTCTCTGTGGTATTTATCACTTGTAACTTGCATTATAGTTTTAGTGTTCATATTTTATTTATGTAATAGACTTTAGCCTCCTTAAGAATCAGGACTTTGTAAAATGTATCTTTACATTATCACAGCAAATTGTAAAGTCTTCTCCATCTATTAAATTCTCAATTAAAATTTGTTGAATAAATGATGGATAGTAAAAGAAAAAGGAGAATGGTCTTTTCTAGAGGAAAATATAAGGCTAGTATCCATTGGAGGTCCCTGCCATTCCATTTAAATCTATTCATTCTCATTTTTAGTTTTACTAGTTTAAGTATGATGCCCTTCAACTGGTCTTTCATAAACATGGAGTCACTAAAGAGACATCATATGAAAGCATTTAACTTGCCTTTCTTGACGAGTTTGCTCCTCAGTAATTTCCATGGCACATTCCAGAGAGTTCTGGAGAGACTGCAATTGATTCAAGGTCTCTTTCAATAAAAATCGAGTTACAAATTGTTTCAAATTGGAAGCCTCTTGGTAATCCTAAGGATGACAAAACAAATGCAATTAGAAATATGGTAGGAAAAAATAACCAGAAGTGTTTTTTCTCCCCATGTACCCATCAATCTCAGATTAATCCTTGAGAAAAATAGACAAAGAGGAGAGAAAACATGTTGGGTCCTGGAGGTTGGGGCAGAATTCTATCTACCCACCAGAAGTTGAATAAGAGAGCTGCAGAAATGACTTGAATATCTCATATCTCATTGCACCTGCTTCAAGATTAGAAAAAATGACAAAAACCAGTCAAATTATGGAATAGACATATGTAGAAAAGGAAGAAAATTACCTGGAGAAAAGTTTGGATCGTGACTAATTCTGGGTGTTTTTTTTTTCTCTTACCAACTAAATGTGCTCACATGTTGACAATTGGCTTAATTCCCTCTTGATGTATTTATTATGCTTGATCTGTATTACACTGAAGCCAAAGGAACTTATGTGTTGTTATTTCAAAATTCAGAAAATGTTAGGCTTGGAATATTTAAACACTTACTAAATCTGCTTACGTCCCTCCTTCAGGAAATTTACCCGAAGCTCAGCTGCATCTAACTTCTAGTACAACACCTCAGCCACAAAAGCACCTTCACTCAAACAACCCCAAGTCTACACAGAGATCATCAGAAACATAATCACTATACCTGCCAAACTTAGTCTAGGTATACAGGTGGATTGTGGATGGTGCTACTTGTTGCTATTGTCTTCTTCTTTTTTATTTTATAAATTTATTTATTTAATTTATTTATTTTTGGCTGCGTTGGGTCTTTTTTGCTGCACACAGGCCTTCTCTAGTTGTGGCGAGCGGGGTCTACTCTTCGTTATGGTGCGTGAGCTTCTCATTGTGGTGGCTTCTCTTATTGTGGAGCATGGGCTCTAGGCACGTGGGCTTCAGTAGTTGTGGCACATGGGCTCAGTAGTTGTGGCTTGCAGGCTCTAGAGTGCAGGCTCAGTAGTTGTGGCGCATGGTCTTAATTGTTCCGCGGCATGTGGGATCTTCCCATACCAGGGCTCGAACCCGTGTCCCCTGCATTGGCAGGCAGATTCTTAACCACTAAGCCACCAGGGGAGCCCACTCTTGCCTTCTAAAGTCTTAGAGAGAACCAAGGCAGAAAATAAAATCAAGTTGGCATGGAATGAAATGGTGACAGAACCACTTTTTCAGGTCATGGGACCAGCCAGCTAAACCTGATTTCCTACAGTCTCAGGTGGGAACAATAGACAATAGTTCAGCCAAGGAAAGGATTTATTTGGCTCCATTCCTAAACAACATGATTATCTCATGATTGAAAATACAAAACTGAAAGGAATGATGGTGACAAGATAATGCTAGGAAATACAGCATGCTGGGGAATCTTGGGGCATGGTTGCAAATCCAAGCAAACAAGATTTAATTAATCTCTCTGGGTCTCAGCTTTCTCACTTACAAATCAGACTAAGCACTCTGGCATACATTCCAACTCAAAAATATTCTGTACTTCTATCAATTCTAAATTAGGGAATATTGAGCTTCTGGACTCCTGATACAAGTTACTTTGTTATTTTTCTTCTGTTAACGGAACAACCTAATGTTGTAGAAAACTTCATTTCTTTCCTAATGTGAAATCATAAAAGGTTTCGATCATCAATCTCTTTTCTAAGTTCATTTTTTTTGCAGCTGAACAGCACAGGAGATTTTCTTATCACCATATCTTATTTAAAAATTTTAATGTCTTTAAACTCCACCTAACAAACTAACCATAAAATGAAACATTACATGCTATAATAGCCATTAGGATTTTTGGTGAGTTAATTCAAGATAAAAAATATACAAAATATTTAATTTGATCAAATAGCTTGCCACTCAGCAGCAATAAAAGTTTCAAAAATTATTTCTCAATGTGTTTTTTTAAAATTGAGTAAAGCTTTCCTTTGAGATGAAAAGGAAACGTGATGACAGGAAAAAATTGTGTTTGATCCATTCCCCACAGCTATTCCATTTTGCTAAAGCATATTTTTAAAATAAAATGTATTAAGACGATGAGAAGATGTGTAGTCAGAGATCATACCAGTTGTATTTGCACCTCAGTATACACTGCACTAATCTAAAGCAAATGATATTGTACTTATTTGAGGACAGCAGGTGAAAGTGAAGGAACTATGCATTTATTGAGCTATGCAGCACTACATTGGCCTTATTCTTTTCTCATTTAAATGTTAAATATTTGTCATGTCAGAACTACCTATAGAAAGGAGATTTTGTTTTTTGGGTTATCCAATTTAAACACTCTGGTCACTGAGATTAGATTTTAGCTTCAGAGACACAAAGGTCTACTCTTCTGTATGCCCCCATGGTGCCCAGAGCAAATACTCATCCAACACTTGAATGTTTGCAGATAAGCTAACTGAGAATTGATTGTGTTTGCTATTTTGGTCTTGCATATAAAGACTGTGGTGATGTTAGAGTTTTGAGGACAGTTAAAATCAGTCAACTGGCTACTCTGTCATTTTCTATCATAGCAAATTAAGAAATTGTTATGCTGAGACTTGCATCTTACCTTGAGAATTTGTTATCCTCATTAGTAACTCTCCAGATAATATTAAGAGATGGCACAACCCAAATGGTACATTTGACAGAAATGTTGATGCCTTGACATTGAGAGGAGTGGTGGGTGGGTTTAAGGCTTTGGGGGATTAGGTTTTTGAGCCAATTATGAAGATTTGCTGTTACGTGCTGCCCTTGATGATAAGGAGAAAAAAGAGCTTGTTTTCTAATATTTATCTTTCCAAACTCAGCTCATGGTATCATCTGTGTATTGCCTTTCCTCCCCTTGAACCACTATTTCTTTTCACAGGGTTAGGCACACATCCTTTCGCTCTGTGTGCTCTTGTAACAACGTTTCCTTACCTAGGGTATAATTTTATCATTTTATATTGTAATATGTTGTTTACTAACAGGTCTTGATCATCTCTGCCTCCAGAATACCCAGAACAAAGCCTGGCTCACAGCAGCTGATCCTTAAATGCTTAAAGACTACGTGAGGTACAGGGAATCACATGGAGATTCAGGCACCAGAGGGAGTGTCTGAGTTCTGGAAACTCCTCTTGCCTCTCCCCAATTACCAGATGCCTTCCCGCACATCTAGCCCTTGCTGGTGGTAGATGCTGCTGTGCAGCTTGTCCAGTCATGTGGGCTCTAGAATAAAGAGAAATACAGCTTTATTTTTAACAGATTGTCCTCATTTCATTTTCTAGACCATTTGTTCATCTTCTTCCCTTCCCTTAATCTGGATCCCAAGGTTTAGGACTGTAGACCCAGGTGGCTTAGATCCAATCTTCCTTTCCTTCCCTCAGATATGTAGCAGATGTTACTTTGGAAGGCAGTGGCAAAAGAAGCAGATGGAAAATTAAATAGATAACAAGCTGGGAAATGTCAAAGCCTTGCCCTTTTTATTCTCAACAAATGTGTTGGCTGAGAAGGTACAGAAAGGGATCTTTGCATACTGAACTCCCAGAAGACTGATATATTGGCTTAAGGCACATATTCCTTTGGGCAAAACCTGGAATCTGAGAGATTGGTAGAAAGAACTAATAAAGCAGTAAAAAAAAATATACAGATGGTACCTGATATTCAAATTCTCCCTTTTTTTCCAAACACAGGTTATTCTTTCATGTCTATTAAAAAGGATATGGGCAAATGAAGGTTTAGAGCATGTTTCTCAGGTTCCAATAATGTTCATTGAATTCACTGAGAATTGTTCAAGTGATAATCAAGTGGAAATTGTCAATAAAGTAGCATTAATATTTCCATTTGTGCCTTTGGAAAGTCAGAATGTAAATATTTCAATCCACGTATTTACTTTGTGTGGAGCTGGAACAGGGCTAGGAGTCATTCAAGTAAAATCCTTAGCATTAGAAGCATGGTACTTTGAAAATCAGGTTTCTTAGAGGACTGACTCTGCATTTTTACGGTCAGGTCATCATCAGAAAGCAAGCTCTTTCCCATCTGGGTGATGGAAGAGTGGAAATCTTAGCTATTAACCCACTATGAGTCATCTCAGTTAATTATGAAAATGAGAGCATAGTCTTCCCTGTTTGTATTTGTCCTACTTGAAAATTAATCAAGTCAGTGACAACCCATCTCAGTGTCTTCTTGTTTATGAAATCAGACACAATCACACTTAGCAGGGGGTACTGCTTCTGACTGCCTTTTAATCTAAGCTCCTGCTGCTCTACCTGTTGTGTGAGACATCTGTGCCAGCTTCTATAACAGGAAAAAATTTACTTTTACAAAAATAGTGCTGTTTATTTCTCTTTTCCTACTTTCCCCCAAACTGTTACTTTATAAATACTAACTGGCTTACACTATTATCTATGTCCTATTTCTTTAAACATTCTTAGGCTTTCATCTTATTATTTTTATTTAAAAAATCATTGGGGTATAGTTGATTTAAAATGTTTTGTTTTTTTAAGATTTGT